GGACTCGGCCACAACCAACCCAACGAGAAAGCGGGGGTCCCGAATCGCAGTGAGTAGGAGTCTGGCGTTGGCATCCAACTTCATCTCATCCTCCAGAAAAATAGCGATGAGAGGCAGAAACTCGATGAACACGAGGACAGCATCGTGCCGCTCGACCCATCTGGTGGGGCACAGGGGCACCAGCTTTTCCAGCTTGGCTGAGGATAGCTTCACGAGTTTGGTAAACCGAAGCGTCCGCATGTTGCTGGAATGGCTCCAAGGCTCCAACCCACTCCACTCTGGCACTGTCCCATAAGGCCCCAAAACAGGCATAAACACAATAGCCTAATGTATTAATCTTGCCTTGGCCCCTTTACCTGGTGCAGTAAGGTCACTGAATGGTTCATGAACCCTTACCCTCTCGTCCTGGTTTGTGCCCGGCTCGCAGTGAGTCAGTATGTGTGTTGGAGCCTTGAAATACCGGGGGATGGTGACTCACCATCACGGGGTCACGCCGCATCAGCCGTCTGATGTTACCACGTGCTCTCAACATGCAACACTGCTTGACGCTCGCTGAGGCTGAGCCTCGCTCTCTCAGAGCCTGCCTGCCTCTCTGGGTGTTATGCGAAATTTCTTTCAAGTTAGGACATTTCCACGATTTTTTTTGCCACATCTCATTATTCTCAGCATCAATACAGCTCCAAAATGTTTATTATAAGTATCCAACCTTAAAAAGCATTTTTGTATTGTTATGGAGCTAGAGGTATTAGTGGTCTGTAAACTTGCAAAGTTGCAAAACAAATTTAAAATGCATCCCAAAGCAGTGGCGTAACTATGGGGAGCCTGGGGGGTCCGCCCCCTCTCCCTCACTAGAGCTGTGGGCCCCTCCACTTGAAAAGGAGTATCTGCATAGTTTTGTGTCTAGAAAAGCCAAAAAAAAAAAAAAAAAAAAAAAAAATAAATAATACACACACATATATATATATATATATATATATATATATATTGGCTTTAAAATCTCAAATAATTCGGGAGGGCATGCCCCCGCCATGTAAAGGATTGGCCCCTCCTTCCCCTCGCCCCAAAATGAAAACCCAGCTACGACACTGGGCCAAAGCCCAAAGAGGGCCAAAGGGGGGGGGCCCAGGCCCCCTGGGCCCCCCCTTATATCCGCGCCTGGCTGTGGCTGACATCCTTGTCTGTGTCAGATATGAGGATGAGAAACAAGATGGGAGCGAGTACTGTGCCTTGTGGAACAGAGCTTTTCACCGTAGCCGCCTCGGACTTTACTCCGTTGACTACTACTCTTTGTGTTCTGTTTGTGAGGAAATTATAGATCCATCTACCAACTTTTCCTGTTATTCCTTTAGCACGCATTTTGTGCACTATTACGCCATGACAATAAAGCAACAAACACTCAACACAAATAAATACTATCATACCAAATTAAAATAACCACCATCAATTAAAATCTCATTAAATTATTATAAGATTCTCCAAAAAGTTCTCTAAGATCCCTACAGGCACCTTGGTAATTATAAAACCTATGACGATAGCTGAATGGCTTAAGCTGTGGGTAAACTATCAAAATATGTTCTCCACTCTTTTCAAGGTGTATCAGCTTAGAAATGGCATCACAGGTGGGCAGGGCCTACTAGTGGTAATAGGTCAATAAAGATACCCAAGTGTTGCACACATGTCTTACTCATCAACTTGTCAGTACTGCATTCTACTTATACAGTGGACCCCCGGTTAACGATTTTAATCCGTGCAAGAGGGGTAATTGTTATGCGAAATAATCGTTATGTGAATGAATTTTCCCCATAAGAAATAATGGAAATAAAATTAATCCGTGCAAGACACCCAAAAGTATGAAAAAAAAAATTTTTTTACCACATGAAATATTAATTTTAATACACACAAACTGAAAAAGGCATGCACACTTACATGACACTTACTTTTATTGAAGATCTGGTGATGATTGATGGGATGGAGGAGGGAGAGCATTATCTTCTTACTGTTTAGAAGGGGAATCCCCTTCCATTAGGACTTGAGGTAGTAAGTCCTTTTCTGGGGTTACTTCCTTCTTTTTTTAATGCCACTAGGGCCAGCTTCAGAGTCACTGGACTTCTTTCGCACAAGATATCTGTCCATAGTGGCCTGTACCTCTCGTTCCTTTATCACTTCCCTAAAGTGTTTCACAACATTGTCAGTGTACAGGTTGCCAACACGGCTTGCAATAGCTGTGTGAGGGTGATTTTCATCCATGAAGGTTTGCACTTCAAGCCACTTTGCACAGATTTCCTTTATCTTTGTAGTAGGCAACTTCTTCAATTTCTCTCTCCCCTCCTCTGAACCAGTTTCCCCAGGTCTGGCCTCTTGCTCTTGAAGTTGATCTATCAGCTCATCAGTGGTTAGTTCTTCATTGTCCTCCTCCACCAACTCTTCCACATCCTCCCCACTAACCTCCACACCCAAGGACTTTCCCAATGCCACAATGGATTCCTCAACTGGCATAATCCTCTCAGGGTTAGCCTCAAACCCTTCAAAATCCCTTTTGTCTACACATTCTGGCCACAGTTTTCTTCCAAGCAGAGTTCAAGGTCCCTTAGTCACTTCCTCCCAAGCCTTACCTATAAGGTTTACACAATTGAGGATATTAAAGTGATCTCTCCAAAACTCTCTTAGAGTCAGTTGAGTTTCTGAGGTCATTACAAAGCACCTTTCAAACAGAGCTTTTGTGTACAGTTTCTTGAAGTTGGAAATAACCTGCTGGTCCATGGGCTGCAGGAGAGGAGTGGTATTAGGAGGCAAAAACTTGATGTTAATGAATTTCATGTCCCCATAAAGTCGCTCTGCCACGTCTGTAGGATGACCAGGGGCATTGTCTAACACCAGGAGGCACTTAAGTTCTAATTTCTTTTCAGTTAGGTAATCTTTCACATTGGGGGCAAATGCATGGTGTAACCAATTATAGAAAAATTCCCTAGTGACCCATGCCTTACTGTTTGCCCTCCACAGCACACACAAATTATCCTTGAGGACATTCTTTTGCCTGAACGCTCTGGGAGTTTCAGAGTGATACACTAATAAAGGCTTCACTTTGCAATCACCAGTAGCATTGGCACACATGAGAAGAGTAAGCCTGTCTTTCATAGGCTTATGTCCTGGGAGTGCCTTTTCCTCCTGAGTAATGTAGGTCCTGCTTGGCATTTTCTTCCAGAACAGGCCCGTTTCATCACAATTAAACACTTGTTCAGGTTTCAGTCCTTCAGTTTCTATATACTCCTTGAATTCCTGCACATATTTTTCAGCTGCTTTGTGGTCCGAACTGGCAGCCTCACCATGCCTTATCACACTATGGATGCCACTACGCTTCTTAAATCTCTCAAACCAACCTTTGCTGGCCTTAAATTCACTCACATCATCACTAGTTGCAGGCATTTTTTTAATTAAATCCTCATGCAACTTCCTAGCCTTTTCACATATGATCGCTTGAGAGACGCTATCTCCTGCTAGCTGTTTTTCATTTATCCACACCAATAAGAGTCTCTCAACATCTCTCCATCACTTGCGATCTTGTTTCGAAAAACACAGTTAAACCTTTGGCAACAACAGCTTCCTTGATTGTCTTTTGGTGCCCACAATAGTAGCGACTGGTTGATTGGGTTTCTTGTACAACTTGACTAGGTCGGCAATACGCACTCCACTTTCATACTTATCAATGATCTCTTTCTTCATTTCAATGGGTATCCTTACCCTTATTGGTGTACGGTTGGCACTAGAAGCTTTCTTGGGGCCCATGGTCACTTATTTTCCAGAAACACCACCGAAAACACTGTAATAATACGAAATATTCCGAGTGTATGCTTGGATGTTAGCGCGGAGGCTGCTGGTAAACAATGGCACGGGCGGCACATGTGAGGCTGGGTGAGGGCGCACATTGGACGCGTCTCGGACGAAAATCGGTGAGCGGGTTTTTAATCGGTATGCGCAGCAAAAATTTTGCGATTAAAGTAAGCGGTATGCGAAATAATCGCTATGTGATGCCATCGTTATGCGGGGGTCCACTGTAATGTCAAAATGTTGTGCATCAGATATTGCTGAACTGTGATAAGCCAGAGACTAACACTCGCCAGTAAAATGTTCTCACTGTGGACTAACCCCAGGTGTCTGCCCTGTAGGTAGGACAAGAACAGTCATCCTCTGTGACCTGCTAGGAATGGGGAACAGCTGTCGCAAGGGAGAACATCGCTCTTCTATTGACAGCGACGATGTCACTCACATCAAAGTAAGTTTCAACAAGTATTGGTTACTGCAAACACTTGCAATCACTCAAGTGTTGTGTGATATGTGTTGTAGTTCACTACACTGTTTCATCACACCTGGTAGTGTCATCATCTGCTGCATCACACTAAGTCTAAACTATCCATCAGCTTATCCTGTGTGTTTCATCCACTGTTCCACACTTGGTGTACCAACCACTACTGGGTGCCCCAGTCTTTGTGTACCAACTACTAGTGTCCCACCTATGTAACAACCATTAGTGTCCCACCCTTTATGTAACAACCACTAGTGTCCCACCCTCTATGTACTGACCACTAGTGTCCTATCCTCTATGTAACAACAACCAGGTGTGTCCCACACCCTCAGTGCAACAACCACCAGGTGTGTTGCACCAATCAATAACCAACAATTTTTTGTATCTTATTTGCTGTGTGTTGGACACTTGCTGAATCATCCTGTTAAATGGCTCTACGTAACACAAACCTGGTGTAAACCATTTATTCTGTTTTAGATGACCCAAACAATGGTCAAATTTACATGCCACACCTGCTCAGTGCATTGCATTTATATTTATCTTATCCATGTAATACAATTCTAATTTACTGGCAAAGTAATACAATCTGGTATTACATTGGGTCTATAATTTTGTTAAGGGCATTGATACCCTTGAGGAAGGGTTCTGATAAGAAAATTCAGAACTATGAAATTTAGATTGAACATGATGGTTTTTACAGGGAACTCTCAGTGAGGTGGTTGATGCAGGTGAGAGCAATTCACTGGTGGTACAATGGGAAAATAGGCAGAAGGAACTTAATGTACTTGTTATGGAGAAGCTGCGTGAAGATTTCCACAATCGTCCTGACAACTTTCTTCTCAACTTGCTTGTTGTCTCCTTGCAGTTCTACAAAAACTTTGGCAAGTATGTCTTTAGCAATCCCTTACAACACCTTAACTTTTTACTTTATTCAGATCTCAAAATGTATTTTACAAGTTAACGATGCATATTAAGTTAAATAAATTTAGTGAATTTTTGGAATTTTACACAGGTGTAGTGTATACTTAGTGATGTAACTACCATAATACCAATTCCTCACTGACTCCTTTTTGTAACTGGCAGAGAGAAAGCTGATATAAGCAATCATATCCGAGACCGAGAACTGGCACTAGACAGGAAGCTGTCACCATCTAAGAAGAAAATCATCTACCTTGGTGGGTGTGAAGAGATCTCTGGCAGACATGTACTCTACCAGCCCAGTAATGAACAGTACATGGAACTTCCTGCTCCTCTCCAGGTACTAATTAATACCTAAATATTAAAAAAAAAATAACTTTGTACTTCAATAATTTTTCCTCTTATGATATAAGGTTTACTGGGGTAGTTCAAAATGTGTTTTGAACCATGTTAATATATGACAGAGTGAACAGGGAGGCAATGTGGCAAATGTTGCAAGTGTATGGAATAGGCGATAGATTACTGAAAGCAGTTAAGAGTTTTTACAAAGACAGTGAGGCTCAGGTTAGGGAATGTAGGAGAGAGGAAGCTTATTTTCCAGTAAAAGTAGGCCTTCAGTAGGGATGCTTATTTATTTATTTAATAATTTGAACATACATACAGAGGTATAAAAAAATACAGGTAAGAGCAGCATGCCAAAGCCACTTGTATGCATAGTATTATGGGCCGGCTTAAAATTAACTTAAGATTAACTAAGCAATGATGTAATCAGTGATAAAACATTATTGTAAATAGATAACAATAAAGCAAAAATGAGTACAGTAGGGCCCCACTTATATGGCAGGTTAGGTTCCAGGCTACCGCCGTACAGTGGAAACCGCCGTAAAGTGGAACACCCTTTTTCTTCCACTTATAAATGCATAAATTATTATTATAATAAAAAAGAAGCGCTAAGCCACAAGGGCTATACAGCCTATAAATGCATAAAAACACTAGATAACAAGTTTACACTAACATATTAAGTTAGCAATAGAACCAGGCATCAAAAAAACAATAATAAAAAAAAAAAAAAAGTACAATACAAACAAAGTGCACTCATTACTTACCTTCAAATATTTATAGTCTTAATCTAGGGTGAGACAAGTAGTATTTATTGTAAGAAATCAAGTGTGGTATGTATGGTAGTCAGCCAGGCTACCATACCAGGCCACCCCACCCACACATACTATTCTATTTTTATTTTTTATTTTATTTTATAATTTGTAGAATACATACAGAGGTACAAAAAAATACAAGTAAGAGTAGGATGCCAAAGCCACTTATATGCATAGCATTACGGGCAGGCTTAAAATTAGCTTAAGATTAACTAAGCAAAGATGTAATCAGTGATAAAACATTATTGTAAACAGATAACAATAAAGCACAAATGAGTATTACAAAGACAGGTCATATGATATTTAAGCATCCCAGAGCGATAAAATGTATATACAGTTCACTCATTACTTACCTTAAAATATTTGTAGTCTTAATCTAGGGTCAGGAGTAAGTAAATGAGATAAAACGAATAAATGAGAGAGAGAAAGAATGAGTGCATGAGAGGGGACAGGCGCAGTTATGTAAACAAACCAGGCGAAGGTAAGTTTTGTAAAAGTGTACACGTCTGGTTTATGTACAAGTTACATTGTGTACAGGTTGTCTCTACATTGATACGGTAGAATAAATAAAGAAGAACACTCCCATTCTCATGTAACATCATTCTGAGAAGAAATGATGCTCTGAGTGAAGGCAATGGAAATAAGTCACTGACTTTTTTGGGTTATCCTAGGTTCTCTACACATATGTTGTTATGTATGATAATCTATGTAACTATTTGTGTATACCTGAATAAACTACTTACATACATACGAAAGGAATAATTTTCTACAGTTATCCCCAGTAACACATTTTCTCTTATGTTAGATTAGAGAAAATGTTATTCTTGGCATCACTTGTACAAGTTATCTGGCTACCTCATCTCATATTTATGTTTATTTATTCTATTGTGGGGTGTATTTACCATCTTTTTATGTTATGCATCGTGTTTAAAATATAATTTTGAAAAAATATCATAGATGGATGAATGAAAATGTGTATTTAACATAATATACAACATTTAAATGAGACTCGATGATTACTATTATCATTACTAATATGACGTCTGGAGACATATGGCACTATTACTGATTTTAATGTGTACCTGCATGCCAGCACAGTATTTAAGTTTATTTAGGTACAGGTATACATAAGTATAATTATCAGAGTATATATAAAATAACTTTTAAAAACATTTGAAATTTTGGAGTTTCCAGACAAAATGGAGACTTAGTGCTTACTGAGCTCACGGAGAATGTAAACAAACAGGGTGGGGCGCGGTGACCATATTAGAAAGTCAGGTGGGGGGAGCCGTATAGCGAGTTTTGGTCATAATTTGAAATGACCGTATTAGTGGAACGCCGTAAAGTGGGGCCCTACTGTATTACAAAGGCAGGTCATATGGTTGCATGCATTGCTGTACATTCAGTAGAATGGAGTATTCTGTTAGGTAATGTATCTAAAAAATAAAGTTAGATTGGGTCTTAGGTTTAACATTTATGTGATATAATTGTGAGAAACATTTAAGATATACAATTTATAAGGTTCAGTTATTCAGTATTTATTTGGTTTTGGGTGAGTAAGTGATCTTTGAGAAGAGACTTGAATTTAAAAACATGTAGTGTTTCTTTTATATTCACAGGTAATGAATTCCAGATTTTAGGGCCTTTTATGTGCATTGAGTTTTTGCATAGCGTGAGATGGACACGAGGAACATCAAAGAGTGATCTGTGCCTTGTGTTATGGTCATGTGTTCTGTTGAGGTTGGCAAGATGATGTTTGAGGGGAGGGTTAATATCAGAGTTAAGTATTCTATGTATGTAATAGGTGCAATAATAAGTATGGATGTTTTGTATGGCGAGTAGGTTTAGTGTTTTGAATATTGGTGGAGTGTGCTGCCTGTAGTGGGAATTTATCATCATTCTGACTGCAGCCTTTTGTTGGGTAATTAGTGGTCTGAGATAGTTAATGCTAGCATGGTGGGAAATGGTGTAGGATTAAAATACAGTGGAACCTCGGTTTTTGCATGCCCCAGTTTTCATAGGATTCAATTTTCGACAACTTTTCTCATAGAAATTTTGTCCTAGTTTTCGTACATCCACTCAGTTCTCAAGAGTTGAAAATGGTCTGTACCAAACGCGTCCGTGTGAATCGGCAAAGTTTTGTGGAGAAATATCACCCTAACAAAGCTGTTGCAAGCCATGTCTGCAACATGTTCAATGACAGGGGTACAGTGACTCAAGCTGGTCCTAGTAGTACTAGTAAAACAAAGAAGTGAAGTAACCCTGGATAGGGCCTTGATACCACAAGTCCTTATGGAAGGGGATTTCCCTTCCAAACAATAACCTCTGCTCCTCCCTCTTCCCTTCTTGCCGTCATCCATAGGCCAGCAAGTCTTTTCAATAAAGGTTAAAGTGATGTTAAATGTTCATTTATCCATTTCATTAGTCATTTATATTTATTTCTCATTGTTTTCTGTATGTAAAACTATAGTTATTCAACTGTTATACTTTCTTTTTTTAGGTTTTTGGATTTAAATTTAGTAAATGTAAAATCACTATGCTCATCCCTAGTGCAGGTAGATTTATTACATTCAAGTTCATCATAGTAGTAGATAGCTGTGCCCCCCCCCCCAACTGATCTGGCCTACAACTGTGTATGGCTACGTAATCAGGTATGGCACAGATGCTTGCAACATCATGTTTTAGCAGGTTTCAGTGAGACTAATGATAGACATACTGACATTTAGAGAACTGAGTAGTGCTAGGAGGTCATCATAGTGTTTACTCAATGATCTGACATTATAATTGAATACTGTTATGTTATTTGGCACTGAGCAGTGTCTTAGCCTGACTAGCAGTGTAATTAAGACAATTATTACTAGGACTGTGAATGCCATTTAATAAGAGGTTAATATCAGGATAAATGTTTGCATTCATATGACTAATAAAAGATTTAAGTAATAGGAAAGATACTGTTAACCCTTTGAGGGTTCAAGCCATAGTTCTACACCTTGTCCACAGGGTTCAAGAATTTAAAAAAAAAAAAAAAAAATTTTCTTATGAAATTGTAGAGAATCTTTTTCTGAAGGTAATAAAACAAAAAGTATGAAATTTGATGGGAAACTGACGAAATTACACTTGCGAATTTTACTGTGTAAGCAATATTTATGCATCGGCAATTTTACCCACTTTTACTCCTATTTTAGGCCAATTACATTATTCCAGTCAACCAAATTCTTCGCTATTTTACTAGTATTACTTCTATTTTATTGAGTGAGCACAAGAAAGTGCCAATTAACTATTTCAATTATCCAATAAAGTGATGAGAAATTGATAATTTGACCAATTTCACACAAATTTAAAAATATTCCAATTTCAAAATAGGGTCCAGAATAAACAATGCCAGCATTCCTGGCACTAAACTAACATTTCCTCTGTTTATTAGTTATGTTTCCAGACTTTACAGATGAATTTCATTTTGAGTTTTTATTCGCATAAAGAATTTTATTCACACCAAAAAATAGAAGATTTACTGTTATGCAATATTGTAATAATTGTGTAAATAATATCAGCGCATTGATGAACATATATTAGACACACTAGTTGATGTGTATTGGATGCATGATGCCATTTGTTTACTCTTGAACATAGGCAAAAATTGAACATTTCCGCTACTTTGAGCTCAATTTCAAGCTATTTTTCACTACTAAAACCAATCAAAATCATCTCTATTTCTGTAATATATCTTCCATTCTATTAAATGAGACCAAGAAACTGCAAATACAACTGTAAAATTCATACAAAAATACACTGCAAAGTCGCTGTTTTAATCCAAAAACACAGTCACAGTTTTTCTCATTATGGACTGCGTGCTGCAGGATTTGTTTTATATGGTGCACACTTACCACAGATCCATTCTCTCATATCTAGGCCCAAATATACCACTCACATCTTATATGAGTGAGCTGAGCTCATGACGTACAACTGCGGCTTCGACCCTCAAAGGGTTAATAACGGTTGATATGACTTGACAAATAGTAAATCAATATTGCACATGGTTAGGACTCAGTACTGCACTGGAGCTAATATGAAAAGCTCATAAAAAGTAGTATAAAGTGTAAGTATGCAAAGAGCTACTCTAAAAAGACAAAGAGGGATGGTTACACAGATTAAAAAAAAAATTACAAAAATATAAAATGGATAGAGT